AAGGCTGATCCTAGGCAATACGAAGTGGATAGGTGAAATCAAGAGTCGAGACAAGTTGTTCCACGACTCCACTCCTCCAGCATGGCCAATTCATCGACCCGCAAAGCGTGTAAAAATAGTTAAAATTATGGATTGCAAAAAAATACGTTTATTTGTTAATGATTGCTTGTTAGAACGTAGTAATAGTGCCAATTTGGCCTAATTGAGTCAAAGATGGTCTTAATATTAATGGAAACACCTATTACAGGTGTGAACAATTCCTTTGACACTTTGTTGTTTACATTACCCAACGTTGTACCGCCTGAGGTGTACGCAACTGCTCAGGGTTTCGTTTTTAAAATACTAGTTGGGAGGCGTTTTACGGCCTTCCTGCTGTAAGATTGTCATTTATTCATCCGAGACGTCGCAAACAAATGAAATCCGCTTAATAGAGCATTGGAGAACATAGTTAAGTGTCCTGTTAAGGTGATGATAGTGACACACATCCACTCATACATCTGATGACTTAACGCGCTTAGTCACTGAAATGCACAAACATTTGACATTCAAAAGGGCGAAACATAAATCATCCAGCACCCACATAACTGCTCCGTTTTTTTACCACTCTTCCAAAGAGTCTCTTTTGAAGGCAAATCGTCAATGGTTAACATAGTAAATTGAATTGCCAGAAGAACAAGGTAAAACTCAACACAAATATTCCATTTATTTGGCTTCAGAAATAAAAACGAGTGGCTAATTTTATTACTTAGCCGAACTGTTGCAGGTTTGACTACTCCTGTTTATCCAACAGATGACCCCATCCTCGAAAGCTTGAAATAAAGGTATAAGATTGTGCGACATTCAATCAAATGGATAAGGGTTTGCCTTAAGTAATGGCACTCGCCATTAACCCTTATTATTTTCGGTCAGAAACAAAACAAATTTGCTCCAGAGGCAGGAGAAAAGATCATTAGAGCACTCGAAGGACTACTTCAACTATGTTTTACCTATCAAGGGAATTTATCGGGCTGTTAACTTTAGTTTTCCTTGATCAGCTAAGAAAGAGAGAAGAGGTGATGGATTTGCTAGGGAGGGTTAAAGTTGCTGGTTGAAGAAAGCGGGATACACTTTAGATTGCCCACGAATGACGTCATTTGATGCGCACGTACGCGCGAACACAGGCGCGCGTGTGCGTAGGTGTGTGCGAGCGGGAGCGGACGGACGCTGTGGTGGTCGATAGGCAGACCTGGCGAGCGCTACTCAACGTGCACCCACGGGTGGATGTGCATGCGATAGGAGCAAATTTTTCAGGGATCACAGGTCATCTAGCTGCCAGAGTACCCACATGTCCCAGTTGCTCAATGCCACAACTACGACACTCGTGTCAGACGATATATCAATATATGTAGTTAGCAACAGCTAAAGGTGTAGGATTTCTTTAGGACGTACGCAAATTCAACACTCCAAATAAGCTAGTCTCTTGGAAATATTTGAATATCTGCCAGGATGCATAGAATATGATTTAAAATTGAGTGCCTTGGTAATAGGTAGTATAATACATTGTAGAAAAAAGGAAGCATAGCGAAAAAGTGGCTAAAACTCAATATAGAAAGGCGAATCCAAAGCACGTCACTTATCTAGTTATATCCAATGAGAAAATGCTTTCGGTTTATCATTCATCAAGTCTGCATGGATTCCATGAACAGATCAGTGGATTTCCAACTCAAAGAAGAAAAGTAAACTCACCTTGAACTCTCCAGTTTGAGCATCGAAAACAACATGAAGCTCATGACTGACATTGGTAGGGAAGGAGATTTTGGGATCCATTAGGTTTCGCGAAAGACGAAAGAGTTTGGCTAAATTTAATAAAATACGTAACAAGAGTCCATAAAATGATAATCCTAAAATATTATTGTGCCTTCACTCGCATATTGAAGCATGATATGCGAAATCTAAAGGAAATTCGATAGCAGATGTGGTTGCGTTGAAAAATTATGCAAACATTATGAAACCACAGAATTTCGGGTGTGCGATAGCTAAAATCGATAAAATGTTCAATTACTAATAACAAACTGTATTTTACTAATTTTTAAGAAATCATTGCGACCAGAACAAAACAGAACCAGACTAACCAAAAAAATAAATAAAATGTTCTGTATACCCAAAAATGAATAGTTCTCACACCTTTCTTTGATGGTTTCCGAGGTGGCAGAGGAAGTGGTTTAAGTGGTGGTCCGTCAGCAGTCACCCGCTTGCTATAAAATGCAGAAATTGCGTCGTAGAATATGCGTACAAAACTGCTTACACCATAACATCAACAGCTACTGACATTGTGCTAGATGATCTCAGAGGTGGCGCGGGTGGAAAGGCGTTTGCCTGCGAATCCCAAGTTTCAATGTTACTACCTTGTCCATTTTTAGGGTTTTCGCTAGAAAACATATTTACTGATAGGTTGTTAATTGCATTGCTATGCAATCAGAAAAATCGAAATACAAAACAGCATTAAAAGAAGGACTCAAGATATCATCAAGGTCAACTACTATTGTGAGCGATGGTTTTAATTACTCTAAACAAACCTCTTAAAAACTTTTCAAAAATTTTTATTATTGATGCATGAATACCTAAAAAAGTGCAAACAATATTTATTTAACCTTAAAAGTGTGCTTACTATATATAAAGTTTTACAACGAAGATAATTAAGCATCCGTTCAGCACGGCTAAATGTTTGACCTTTCAATGGCATACATATTTTTTACCAAAACGCTGAGAATTTAGCAGCAAAGATCAAAGATTTATAGCTGTATTTCCAACTGAAGTCTAACCCTGCTAAAGAATAATTCAACAGAGTGCATGGCGTATGCGAAATCGGGCAGTATTTATGTAATACTTTGTTTATGGAACCACATGATGTTTATGGTCATTTTAGGATTCGTCTGGTCCTTGTACACGTAAGCTGGCCTTCGGGTAATGCCAAGGTTCATTTGTCCTGTAATCTTCACAATACATGTATCTGACTGCAGAGGGTCTCGGGACGCTGCAATGGTGGCAGCAGCAAATTTTAGCCGAGTTGGGCTCTCTCTCTGCGGCTTGTTCTTCATTGATCGTTTGGTAACTGTCACATAGTGTCCGGAAAAATCTATTGCTCAACAGACGTGGCTGTCTTACTGGCATCTTAACGTTTGTATTGCTATACTTTGCTACTTTAATCGACTGAGTCCCGAACGGAACAATACGAACAAGCCGACGAGTAAGGCTTCGATCGGATGATACAATGCTTCAGTACCTACAAATCGCACATGATCTGAAGATGTATATCGCTTGTTCTTGGCGATGATGCTCTGGATTTGAGTATTTATGAGCTTGACCATCTATTAGACCCCAAAGTCGGATTCCCTTAGCGAGAACTCCATACCTCACTTTTCCCTACAAGAAGTTTTAGTCCAATCAGCAGACAAGACTGCGAAAGAAATCTGCTTTTCGATGCAGAAATCCAAGATTAAGAAGAGCATTCTGGCGTTGTGTACCGGCATTCATGAGCTATACATACGTAGAAGGAAGTCTGACTATACCGAAGCGCAACAGATGAAGATACAGGCGGAAAAGGGACGTGGACTGAAGGAGGCGAAAAATCTCTGAATCCTTTACAACGAAAGGATTTTGAATGGCGTCTGCATTCGGTTTCACCTTATTCCCCTTTTCAACAGACAAGCTATTAACAACTGAATTGACACCACTGTGAACTATCTGGAGAAGTTTCGCGTCAGAATTTCCCATAAAAATCCGCGTTTAGCTGTCGGAAATGACACTACGGTTCTCCTTACATACAGGACAGTGTGTCATCTCAATTCTCCTGTAACATAACTGTGTAAGACCAGAGTTCCACCAACCATTCCTGGAGGCAATTGATTATCAATGGTTGTCAGACCGAACTTAACTGCAAATTTCATTGAAGCTACCCAGGATACCAAGTACGGTTCTTCAGTCCCATACTATATGTCGACCGGCGTGGTTAGCTCGTGGGTATTTATTTGTAGTACCGAATATATTGTGATGGCTGGCGTAGGAGGTGTGCCAAAGGGGAGCGCCGAAGACGTCGCTCAAAAGAGAAGAGGGGTGATATAGTGCTTTATTGATATGACTGCATGACACTTAGTAATCACTTTAGGATTTGTCAGGTCCTTGTACACGTGGGCTGGCCTTCGGGCCATGCCCAGGTCCATTTGTCCTGTCGTCATTATAACACATGTATCCAACTGCACTTACTGACTTCTTATGCTGGTCAGAAGGTCTCGGGACGCTACAATTTATGCTACTTTATTTATTTAGCCATCAGAAGCCCACGGTTACTTTGCCATTTGTCTGGCCTTGATAGAAAGCCCTAAATAGTTACAATCTTTTATTCGTCAGCTCGCGCAGTACAAACTCACGATTGGTAAATATCAGTTATCTATCTATTTGCACTAGGCTGGCAGTATTTTTATAATTGTAATTGTGTCCCATTATTTTAGACTTCTGACCATTTGAAAAAAACATTAGTTTGGCTAAACTACATGTACATATGGGTGAAATCGGGGATTAGGCCTGAGTTCGGCCTGAAGATTAGCCCATGTGTACATGTGCTATGAGATTCTCAAAGCACTCGCCGGAAGTGTGATGGTTGCATATACAAAGTAGTGCACTTACATTTGCTAGATGTTGCAGAATGATGCATTATTTGCTAGTTAGGGATATTTGTGCTGTTGCCTTTGCAAACTCCTGTACTAGTTATGGAGGATGATGATTAACTAGATGTTGCGGATTAAATTTTCGGAAAGCAGCTGTGCATTTTTTACGTTAGATCATGTATCGGATTTTCGCTTCGCTATATTTGAAATTTTGTACTTTTACAGCATTAAATGCACGTGCTTGCCTCATTAGGTGGGCTACTGATCATTTTGAACACTCATTGACCTCCAATTTTGACCCTGATTCTCAGTATTCACTTCCTCGATAAGTTATTATAAATACTGCCGTTCTTCATTATGGCTCTCTTTGAGGCCACCCTTGCTGAACAAGATGCAAATCCTGAATCACAATTTTCCAATTACCTTTTAAAGGATAAATTCTTATTAACGGCTTTGGAATTCTACTATGAGCTACTTGAGCGCGGCATGCAATGTAATGTACTTGAGGCGTTCTTCACAAATCCCGAAAATCTTTACCAGTTTGATCTTAATCAATCTGAAGTCACTTCGATAAGTATTTCTTTAATTAGTCCCATTTTCAGACTCCCGCCTGAGTATATCTACCTCAGATTCGGTTGATCTTCGTACCGGTAGTGAAGAGCAAAATTCTTTGGAAGACCAACTGAAGGGTATCAAATTCTCTTTCCCTTATAGGCGTAAAGTGTTTGAATTTGAGCTTAGGAAAAGGAATGAAGAGATTAAAAGTTTGCGAAGGCGTCTTACTACTGTAACTGTTGGAGGTAAATCTGGTATCTGTAGAAATCTTTGTAGTCTAATGTAGAACCCAGTCCTCTAAGTATTGCTTTCCTTAGCCTATTTTATGGCTAATTAAAATCTTACTAGGTGAAACCGTAGAGCCTGTGAACTCACCAACGCTGTCAAATGGGGAATATGGTGAGACAAAAGACCCTGACCCTGCCTCCAATACGGAAACGCGTGCCCTTCGTTTTCTGGTTAACGAGCATCTACTCAGCAATGGATACAAGTTGAGTGCTGTTCAATTCGCCGAGGAATGCGAAGTTGAAGATCAACAGGATTTGGACGATTGGAATGATGTAGGATGATCAGATTGTTAAGCTTTTCAAATTAAAGCTCTGTTTAGTTCTTACACTTTTTTCAGATTTACAACTTGAGCATTTTAGTGTTTACCGATAACGTCGATAAAAGTTTACTCTAATCGCTCGGCACTTATTCGGCCGTTGAACAACGGATAATATTGCAACTGCTGCATGAATGTGCTAGTTCCAGTACGCCTCAATCTCCAATGCTCTTCCTTAGAAGCTGGAATCAGCAATGCTTTAAGCTTGGGTTGAGTGACTCATATCTATTTGGAGGGGTAGTAGATATAGTCTTTGGAGAGAACTTGCTGTGGACGTTTATTGGTGTAAAAGGGGCTATTCTATGGACATCGATGGGGTTCCAAGTGTCGCTGAGTGACAGTGTATGAAATAACTAGTTTTTGTTTCAGACTAGAAATGAGACCTTGTTAGTTTATAGGAGTTATTGGAAACATATTCGGTGTACCATGAGGTGGAAATTGAGCCGGAACGCTTCGAGGTATTTCTTCAAATTAAGTTCAACTCCTGCGGTCACTTGAGAAATTGACTTGATATCCGTAGCATTTCTTGCAAGGAGAAGAGATTATAATGCAAACACTTTGCTTCTAATCCTCTTGGGCTTCAGGTAGGACTCACCTGCGATCGTCCTCCAAATCTCCTCATGCTTCTGCGAGCCTCCTGGACGCTTCCTCGCCACCAGCCAGGTCCGAGGTCATTTCTGCGTCCCACTAGGCCCCGAGCCATGGGTACCGACGCAGCAGCAGAATTTATGGACGAGGTCACACAAACTGAACTCTCCGTCGAAACTCTCGAGGAAGAATTGGAAATTAACAAAACTGCACTCACAGCACTGCGGTGTAACTTTGAGGCCACCAAAGCGGAGCTGGAAGTCTCGGTAACGCGAACTATATTGGTTCCATTAGACCTTGGTGAAGTGTGTAAGGTCCTGCACTTATTGGATGATGACAACCCCGCTTGTATTTTTTATACACATTAATTGTTGGCACTACGGTTAGAAATCCGAGGAATTTGTCAATTAATCGGTTTCAAAACCCCATATTTCGCATTTTAAGTAAATGTGATCGGAAATGATCTGTTACTTGAATAGTTGAATGTCATCCAACTCCAATTTGCGAAACCCAGCCCAGATTGCTTTGTGTGAATGCAAATATCTACTTAAATTGTATCTAGAGACATGGCTTTGTACTAATTTTTATGACTAGATGGGATCTGTTTGGCCACTTTCGGCATACGTATGATAAAATTAGCTGTTTGTATTGAATTATTATTTTTATTCTGTTAACAGTTGGGTATCATGAGTGGGGATTGTGCAACCACTTGAGTTCATCCGCCGGTGTTTGTGCAGGCAATGAAAGTTTCCATTTTATGTCATCGAGCTCACCAACTCAGAAAGACTTATTTATTGTTTAATCGCTTGTTGTTTTATTGTGACTTTCGCAATTAGCTTTTAAAATACAAGCAATGCGAAGACCTTTGAATGATTCCTGAATCTACTCACAACATCGCTTGTGTATATTGTTTTAGATCCATTAAATTTGCTGGGGTAAGTGAAGTGTATTTTGGAGAAATTGAATGTTGTATTTTTTTAGCGTCAACAAATCGGTGATTTGCGTGGAAAAGTGTCACGTATCGAGTCGGAGAACGTCAGTCTTGCACAGGAATCCACATACTGGAGAAATCAACTTCTTTGTCTTAAGCGGTAACTCGTCTTTTTATCAGCTCCCCCTTTTTGCCTGCAAATACGTTTACTTTATCCCTTGTAGTTGTTTATTTGTTTGGCATTACCTTTGTGGCAGTCAAAAGCGTTTGATTTTTTCATTGGCATCGCATTTATATCAACATTTTGGTGATTATTTGTGCGCAAAGATATCGCGATGTGCGACATAAAAAAATCCAAAAATATGCGTTCTTTTAAGATTTGGTGTTATCCGTGGTAGCTTTGTCTTCCAAAAAGTTTTGTGATTATTTGTTTTTTTGTGGATCGAAAGGTATACATGTACACTTTTAGCTGCATATGGTAATGAACATCCTTTTGCTTTGTTTTCATCATATCAAAAGCAAAGAGTAAGCAAGTTTTGTAGTTTGAAGTTGAGTGCAATTCCTCCCATCAAAGTGTCACTAAAACACGATATTGTATGATCACCAACATTCCTTGTACCCATCTTTCATTTACGTTTACTCGGTAGAGATTACCCCGATTTGGTGGGAACAACGGTGACGAAGGCAGCCAGAAGTGCTGCCCCTAGCCAACCTCTTCTCAACGGAGGTGAGAAGTTGGAGACCGAAGGTGCTAGTGCAGCAGGGGGATCGAGCAAAGACGGTCCAATAGAGACGTCGTCACCAGCAGCATCACCGACGTCTGTGGATCTAATGGCCTCGGAGGTGGTGGCACCACTCCCCAAGTTGGTCATCAATAATCCGCAGTTCATAAGGTTGGCTCTGATATCCAAATTTACCCATTCATACACAACAATACAAAATTATGTGGTGAATTTGACACCTATGCAGCACACACTATCATTTTCGAGTTTTACGTTCAGTGACGTTGCCAACTGCTCTGTCCTGTTATTCTTCTTGAATTTTAAGTTGCAATCATTTGCTTATCGGCCATGCTATGCTGTGGTGGAAGTTTATTTTGGACTTTCTAGGTCTTCTTCCTCAGTTTTTTTTAAAATAATATGTCAACTGCTATGGTTTGATGACTTGAAAATATACTATTGAGTTCAAAGGCATGAGTAGAAAACTGTTTCCGTGGCACAGCAACGATTTTGCTGTCGTGATTAGTTTTATAGTTCACTGAAGTAACCTTAACTTTTCATTTACATTTGAACTGCAAATACTTACTACAACACATCTGGTTCTGAAAACAAAATATATATATATTTTTTTCAACAGTTTTGGGATTTGCTCCAAACACCGATGTGGGTAATCATAATCCACCTGTTTTCCACTATTTCGGAATATTTGCACTATTTCCACTTGAGACAGGATTGCTGTAAAACAACTTTAGTATCCAAAACTCTGGATCGGGGAAAGATTTGACCTCCATTTTGGGTTTAACTGCTTTTTCTACCTTTACAAAATGGTTCTTAGAATCTTGAAATTTGCCGTTACTTCAGGTAATGATCGTAGTACTGACCCACTGATTGGTAAAAATGATACACGTACATCATTATCCATCTGTGCCTCCTTTTATGTGACATTAACAAGATTTTTCCTGGTTCCTCATTCTTTTTAGTGGTCTCGCAGTCACACCATAATTCTCTCCTTCTCTGATTGGCTTTTATCGAGTCTCACCTTAGAGCAAAAAAAGTGTTGACAGTCAAGCTGAGGTCATTTTACCCATTCTGCATCCCTAGACGATGTGCTCCCGAGTTTGTTCGTTGTGCTTCGGAACTCTTACCAGCAGTGGAGACCGAAGAAGTTCCTCTGGAGGCCTCCCGACTAGCTGATACTCTGGATGAGATAATAATTGCCATCGGTTCTCAAATTCAAAACATTCTCAAGTATCTTCCGGATAATCAAAAGATAGTAAGCCGGCGTAAAACCTCTTTTTACTGTCACTGATGGGCTGCTTATTTGTCTCTTGTAGGGCATCGTATATTAATGTGGTAATCAAAATGGTGCGATAGATGAGTGATAGTATCAATCAGTCTATTTCCTTATTACTTATCATTAATTAAGATTTTGTTTTTGCAGTTTTATTGCCTTCTTGTTTTCGTTCGGGCTAATTTTTTAACTACTATTCTGCTTTAAAATCAGCTATATACTCAAAATACTGTGTGAACGTGTGCATCGGATTTTCTGGCATTTCCGCTTTGCACTTGCCTCAATTCAAATTCTTTCATTTGCCGTCAGAATTACCACATTTTCATACCATTTGCTTTTGGCTTCATCCCTCTAAATCGTCTTGGGAAAAGCAATTTATTCTCTTTTGGAGTCAACATTCATAAGCGTAATGAACGTGTCAACTGTGTCTGCATGGAGATCGTGAATATCATTGCAACAAAAGAGCACATATTTTAGCTCCCCAAGTAAAATGCAGTTAGGACTCGAAAGCAGTTGTTGTCTGTAGATTGATTAGGATTTTCTTTTAACTACTCTATTAGTATTCATTGCTTCTTGTGCGCATTTGGCTCGGAGGTTGCATGATCCATTTCCCTTTTTTTGCGTTGAGCTGGCTCTGCCACTGCTGATCCAGGCTATTTGCCTGCACCCAGATGCCGAAGTTCGTGACCAGCTTTTACGGGCCCTCTTCAATCTTTTTGCCGATTCTCCTGAGGCCGACACCAAGGGGATGGAGACGAAGCGAGCTGTTATTATCCTTCGCCAATGTCGTGAATTGGCCACATGTTTGGGTCTGCTTTCTCTTCTTCTATTCTTGCTATCCACAAGAATAGTCATTTTTCCATTTGAATAGCCGCCTCATATCGTTTCTGATACTTGTTCAACTGATATTTTGAAATCTGTCTTGCGAAGAAAACAAACAACTGGAGACCTCTTCCTTTCATTTTTGCTATACTCCATATCGGCTGAAATTCTAGATAGTTATGAAGCTTTCTCACTCTTATTTTGACAAATTTGTCCATATACTGTTTCTATTAATTTCTTCTAAGCAAAGTATGTAATATGTTAAAATGTGCCTAAGTAACACGACGTTTACGTGAGTAGATGGTGGCACCAGCTTATGGCATTGCCTTGACCAGACGTGCATTTAGATTCGAGGTTGATTGAAATAGCTGCGATTGTGCTCCATCCAGTTCCACGTATGATTGGTCCCTTGCCTAGACTTATACTTGTGTGACTGTAAAGCATTCGGTTCATTTAGGACTCAAGTTAAGTTAAGTCGTTGCTACACTTGGGTATATACCAATGTCCCTTATTTCGCTTGTTTGTATATAGTTGCACTCACTACTTCACCACTTTGTCTGGGAATTTATGCGTGCATATACATTTTTACCACTACTTCTTGTTGCATTGGGGCCGCCTAACTGGTCGTCATTGCAGTTGCAAAGTTATCAAGTATCTCTGGAAAGGGGAACTTTGTTGGTAATCAATTCCGTAATGAGGTGTCAGGCGATTGCGCTGGTTAGTGGCTAGTTTGGATTTCACTTATCACATCATTCCATTCTAGAAATGATCCACATATTGTTAGCGCATACTCAAGGATACGTGTTCTTACTTGTTTAGCTTAATTGCTGCTTACAGGGAAACGGTTATTTACGAGCTGGTTTTTCTTGAGTTTAGGCCCTCAGCGAATAGAGAGTGAGTTGTTACCTCAAATCTGGTCCCAGTTAAACGAGCGACCCTCAAATAGCCTTCGAAAGCTCCTCATCTCCGCTTGTGGTGTTATAGCGCCTGCCACTCCCGTGAGTACTTTCAATGAACATTCCAATCACTTGAATTTGAATGCTTGCTCTCAATGCATAACTTCGTTCTCTGTGTTGCTCCGTACTTTGGCGTAGGCACGAATTTGGTCTCTACACAGGAGTGCGTTCTTTGATTTGTCAACAAAGGATGGAGTTTTGTTTTAAACACCACAACCAAGCCGTGGTTCTACTCATGCTTCCTCTAATGAACGGATCAGGTTGTATTAATTTTATCCAACCGACATCCCAATATCTGTCTTCATCGCTATTGCAGTGGCAAGGTTACACTGAGATGTTCGACCGCCATCCAATGCACTTTTCGGACATTCATTCACCTACTCAACCGGAATTTCGTTGATTTCCTCCGGATTGTCTAGCAAATATTAAGTTTGTGGTTTGGCATTCTCTTCTCAAATACCAGGAGGTTCCAGAGGGTGTGAATGTACTCACCTTGTGCCAAAATGATTAAGAAATACGGGTATTTATTTAAATTTCACTACAATAACTTCTCCGTTCAACTCGTAGCCAAAGCATTGATTACAGTTTAGGTAAAATAGTAGACTTGCTAATGTCTGGTTTTAATAACTCCCCACCTTTGTGTGTCTATATATGTCGCAGTCGCGATTGCGCTCCTCCCTACTGCTCTCGATCCTCCTCCAGTCCATAGAGGAGGAGAAGGCGGAGGAGGTACGTGCAGTGGCCCTACGTTCACTGGCCGGGGTGGTGGTACTGATGGAGGACCGAGATAAAGTACCCCAGTTGGTGGCCACTTTTGAAGCGGTCTTACTGGCAGATTGGACCCATGCATCCCCTGCTACCGCCGCTCTACCCTGTCCCCATGTTGTCGTATACGGACATCCACTTTGCCTATCGAGCGGGAGTAGCTTGGGAACTTGTCCAAGCATTCTTAGCGCCTCTTGCAACTGGCTGCTACCCACTGTTGCTCAGTGGTGTTTGGAAGTCGGCTCCTTTAACGATCTCCTCCTCAATCCATGGCTTCAGCGACTCATAAATCTGTGCTTCGTGAGTTCTTAAGTTAATTATCAAATGTTTTGTCAACAACGGTAGGTTTCTTTTTTGCGCTACTGTGATTGAAAGATTCTGAATTTCATTAATATTAAGTTAATTACTCAATCTCTCGTTCATAGGCAAGAATCTTTTGGAGATCTGCTGCTG